TCTCTCTCTCTCTCTCTCTCTCCCCCTCCCCCTGCCTCTCCCGGTCTCTCCCTGTCTCTCCCCGTCTCTCCCCGTCTCTGCCTGCTTTTCCCAGTCTCTCCCGGTCTCTCCCGGTCTCTCCCGGTCTCTCCATGTCTCTCCTTGTCTCTACGTGTGTCTCCCTGTCTCTCTGTGCCTCTCGGTGTTTCTCCTTGTTTCTCCCTGTCTCTTCCTGTCTCCCCCTCTCTCTCACTCACTCGTTCGCTGAGCGATGAGGAAATACATAAAGGAGGTCGTTAGTTAATTTTAAAATGCAACTACCGCTTATTCCTGATTTTACGCAAGGGCGCGAGCGTATGTTATAGAATTATATTGAAATTTTCTCGCCAGGAGCGGGAGGCCGAGAAGATCGCCGAGGAGGCCGCGGCACTGCGCGACGTGAAGACGGAATTGCCGCCGGCGAGAAGTCCCGAGACCTGGCACGGCAGTGCCTACTATCGGCATCTCAACGTTCTGAAGGGTGAGCGAGAGATTCGCCGCGCAAATTGGGCTCTTGGAGCTCGAGAGAGAAGCCCTCTCGACGAACCGAGACCCCGAGAACGTTACCGACCCCTTTACTTGTAACGAAACATTTCGCGACTAAGTTAACTGTCTACTAGCTAATTAAAGGATATTTAAAACTCGCGAACTTTAAGGCCGCGTCGCGCCGAGGAGCGCACCGATAATTAATTCGACAGGGGTACAGTGATGGACAGAATCACTGAAAAAAAAATTCGCTACCGTAGCTAATCATGGTTTGCCAAGAATACTTTACTTCACAACTATAAAGTTCTAAAGCACAGCAAACTGTTTGCTGTCGCACCCAATGCAATAGGCGTAGCAGCAAAATATCTAACTGTCGCAACTAAATATTAGCTGTCCATATTTTACAACTGAAATTTAGTTTCCACATGCAGTTTTTAGCTACGGCAGCTACATTTTTTTCCGTGATGGTTGCAACGCGGTTTTTTTTTTTAATGAGTTTAGAAATGCGCATTTAGATTCAGGTTGCAACCATTCTGTCCATCACTTTTCCTCGAAGAAAATACTATGGAACGTAAACCTGTGTCTAAATGCGCGTTCCTAAACTCATTTTTAAATAAGTGTCGCAACCATTCTACCCATCACTGCAGACGGACTTCGGAAATATTTCGATGCGCAAAACAGCATCGAGAATACACAGAGATTTTATAATATTACGAGTATCAAGCACGTTATAAATTACCATGATAAATTGAAAACGTCACGGGTCCGGAGCCTACAGACGGGATAATTCCTGGAATTTCCACGAGAGATGGCATTTCCAATTAACGTCGCTCGAAATGCGCTTTTCCGCGATATAATTCAGGACCCGCGCCTGGGGCCCCCGCTCGATGTCGCGGAAAATCGTCTCTCGCGCATTTTCGCGAACCGCGGCCGCCCGTTCTCGCCGCGTTTACACGTTATTTTCGCATGAATAGCGCCGCTCGCGGATTCAAAGCGGGCTTCGCCCGCGCGCACCGCTTTCTCTATGCACAACGCCGGCCCCCATTGATATTAGTAATTAATTAGTAACTACCATGGATCAAGCGACCCGGCGAGAAGATCGGAGTTCCAATTAATTAGAGTAATTAGTCGCGACCGGAGTGTTAAGTGGAAACGCGCGTGGAGAGTTGCCTTGATATTCAGACGCGGGGGTGGATCTTGCAGGCTGTAATAACGCGGAAATGGGGTGCGGGTGGCCCCTCGGCCGGCCGAGGGGCGTGATTTGCGTCGACGCTTGCGCGTACCTACGTCGGTTTCCGTCGGCGCCGCGACGCCTGCGATTCCAGACCCGACGACGAGACGCGTATCGCAATAATCGCGCCGGTGACGCGCGCGTTTCCTCCTGAATTACCCGGAATCGCGGCGGACAGTTACCGGTTGACGGGCAAATTTTAATTGACGTTAATCACAAAAGACGCTGCGCCGCAGAAAAATTGCATTGTCAGAAAAGAAATGTTTTTCCCTTTCCCAAGGATAATCGGTTTTGCGTAATTCTTACCGAGTCTCCGGGCCCGCGAGTTAATGAACGTCGGCAGGAACGCGAAGCGTAATTAAGGGACTCGAAAATCAAAATATAGCTTGTATACGGACAAATTCAAATGCTAAATTAAAAATTCCAGTTCTCCTTTTCGCCCCCGCCCTCTCCTTAAAACCGCCCCCTCTCGCTCCGCGGGAATACCGTCCTCGACGGTGCTCGACGAGCGCGATGCGATGACATAATATGTAAGCACAGAGAGCACGCCTGCAAATACGAGGCGCGTTTCAGACGAGACCGGTACACGTATGTGCACACTTTTGTGTACGCGCGTACACACGCCCGGTATACACACGTACGTCGCTCGAGGTACATCGATGGGCCCCATTCAGCGCGGGCGTAAGCCGAAAATAACGAGATAGGTGCCGCATCGGCGCGATGAATACGAATACAGGATCATTGGCGGTGAACGCAGGCACTTTGACTAACGTACAGCCGTCGGAAAAAGCCCGCGCTCTCCCGGTCTTCTTCTTTTCCTTCCCTGCGCGACCGCACGATCTTTTCAGAGCGCGCTCTTTAAGCCCGTCATGCGAGAACAAATCCACCCTCTCGTCCGACTGAACCGTCGTTTGCGCAAATTAGCCGAATGAGACTAATCGGTCTACGAACGAATCTTTTGTGAATTCCACATATTTCCCCTTTAACTAATTTTATTCGCGTATCTGTGCGAAGAACGACGGTCCCGCGGCCCTAGTAGCACAATATATTGCCGCAATATTGGGAAATAACGTAAATCTAGTGTTACCAATATTGGTCCAATATTGTAAGATGGACGCCTTCTCTTAGTTAGCCAATGCGTCTAGCAATATTGGTTCAATAATGTACCGATATTAAACCAATATTCTTATTATATTGTTAAATGTTGGCCAATGCACTTCCTATAGAAATCTAATATTATATAATTATTATCGCGCAACATGTACATTTATTCCATGGCCAATATTGACTTTACGTTGGACAATATCGGTCTATGCATTTCTAATATAACCAATATTGGACCAGTGGTTAGCCAATGCACTGTGCTACTAGGGGGGATTCATAGGAATTGCCGTCTGTAGATCTGCCGAATTGAAATCGTGCAGAGGCGCGGCGGGCGTTAATAATTTTCAATTTCAAATTAATTCTTAAACCTACAGGACCAAATTAATTACTTTCGGTGTAAAATTTAGATGTTCAGAAACGCGTACCTAAAGGCCTGCGTCCACGATGCTAGAACTCGGTTCAAGTTGTAGTTTCGAGAAATGTGTAGCCAATCAACTTGCAGCTTTCACGGGATGGAATTTTTGGAGCTCGGACCAAGTTCTAGCATCGTGGACGCAGGCCTTAATACACTTTTGTACTTTAAACTCAAGTTTCTTTAATTCCCATATGACTTGGTCGTGTCAGACAACGTTTGATCGTGAGATACGTCCGCGCCGGACTAGTTAAGGCTTCTACTACTGATTTATTTACGCACCTCCGACGAAGATCTTGTTACACCGAAGGGAAACAGTGCGGTGCGCCCGCGAAGGGTTGATTTCACACAGCGCGTCCGCACCGATGTTCATGACGAGGCTCCGCTAATTACCGGATGATAATTATTGCAGGGAACGAGCCGGCCGCGGAAAGGGCGGGCTCCGATTGCTCGGCTTGCCGTCCTCCACGCGGTATGTTTTACGGCCAGGTCCACAGTCCGTCCACGCCGACCAATTAATCGAGCTGGGCTGGCTGAATTAATCGACACGCTGGAGCAGCAGCGTTACGAAGAGGAGGACATGGCACATTTAACCCGAACCGTTCCGTAAGCTTGCGACACGTCCGTTGCCTTAAAGCGCACTCTGGTCGATCTCTATAGTCGTCGAACTTAAGGGCTAAGGCGCAACAGTGGTCTAACGTCTTTTCAAGAAGTTGATCGTAAAAACTTGACGAAATTAGATTTAAAATTAACTAAACCGAACGGATTGAGATGAACAAATTGAACGGGGGCGTAGTCGATAAAAAATTTAGACATAGAATTTTCAACGAGCGCCATCTGAATCTAATCTAAAATCTAACTAATGCTCTCGAGCCCTTTAGGAAAGCGCGTTGAACCGGTGTTGCGTCAGACTCTACGATTTATAATAATTCGCTTCACGTTCGCGGCATTCGCTGAAATCGGGCCCAGTTTTGTCGCCGCGGCGGCCCCTTCGTTGCGCGCGAAACTCGGACTAACCCGCCACTAGCAAACGTTAGCAAAGTCTTTCGTCTTACGTATTTGTGATACCAGCTAGAAACGGACATCGATTTTATCGCGTCGTCAAGCGGCAGCTCCTTGTCACGTCCGGTAATGGATCTTTAGGACGGCGATTCGTTTTAGCAGGATGTTTGCGCGTTTCGTCCTTTTACGGCGTCGTAAGCAGGCGAACAGATCGATCGAGTCGAGAAGCTTGGCAAGAAACTTGGCGGGGCGCTCGTTGTGAATATAGAGCGGCGTCTAGAATAATGTTCGCCCGGAGACACTGTCGTCTTCGACAGAGCGAGGGCGGCAGTCACGCTGACATTTACGAATCCGACCATTTCCAAGCGGATTCGTTAATCTAGTCTCGTATTACTCCGATTACGCCGTAATTTTCTAGTAAAATTTTGCTCAGAGAAGCTCAGTGTAACACGGCACGTATAGAGGATGCGGATAAACGAGGACAACCGCGACTTTGATACAGCATGGAGACGCGTGATTTACATACAGTGAGGGACAGAATGGTTGCAACACTTGTTTTTTTTATGAGTTTAGAAACGCACATTTAGATTCACGTTTACGTCCCGAAACATTTTTCTATGGGGGAAATTTTACTCGAGAAATAGATCGGAAACGCTCAAAATGGTTTCGGTATGGCCATCGAGTAAAATATTCCTCGGAGAAGAAGATTTTGGAGCGTAAGCGTGAACCTAAATGCGCGTTTCTGAACTCATTTAAAAAAGTGATGGACAGAATGGTTGCAACACTTTTTCAAATGAGTTTAGGAACGTGCATTGACGTTTACGTTCCGAAACATGTTCTGTGAGGGAAATTTTACTCGAGAAATAGATCGGAAACGCTCAAAATGGTTTCGGCATGGCCATCGAGTAAAATATTCCTCGGAGAAGATTTTGGAACGTAACCCTGAATCTAAATGCACGTTTCTAAACTCATTAAAACAAAACTGTCGCAACCATTCTGTCTATCACTGTACACACATTCCAGAATTAATTCTGCATTTGTTTTTTTTTCGGTAACAAGAGAAAAGTCGACGAGTCTGGATGAGATACCTCTAGCATCTTTTTCTAAATAAAGCTGGAAGACATGTATGTACAACGTCATGTTCCTCGCGTAATCTTAGTTCCTTTATGGATTACCATACCCGCGTCTTTTATTTCGCAAAGTGTTGTGATAAAAAACTAGGCGTCATATTAAATTTCCAATAATACAAGATTGTCATGTATTTACTAAGAACAGCTAATTGTTATTTTTATTATCAGGGGCTGATAATAAAAACTGATTATTAGATGACATCTATTTGTAATGAATTTTATCAGCGTATTATATCAAATTTTCTCCCTAAGAATAACATTATTAATCAGGAAATTTGATATTTAAATATGAGAACTGATTTAATCCCGAATTTAAGTCGTGCAGTCCTAGTGCGACAACACTAATAATAGGTGCGTCCCAGAGACTCGTTTACATCAACTCGCGGTAATCGGCGATGCCGCCGAGAGTTCCATCGCGACGCTAATCGCGCCGCGGCGCATCGGGCAGCGTAGCTTAGAATCGATAGACGTTTACCGCGCGGACGATATACACAGTGCAATTATACTTCGTTGCGTAAATCGATTTAGGCAGATCGAGGTAAACCGGACGGATACGAGTCGAATTAGAGAAAGAGAGAGAGAAAGAGAGAAGAGAAAAGAATCCCCGCGCTTTACGCCGTAGGCCGCAGCTGTAAGTACCGCCACTCTAGTAGATTAACGTACGTAAGTTGCATCATTGAACATATTGTAGATGACAGCGTGTGTGACAAAAAACCCACGAGTGTAATCCAAGGTTCTAATAAAAGATCTTGATCGCTGGAAAAAGCCCGTGACATAATCACTCTCACCTCGCCAGTAAACGACACGGGGGTCCGTGTCATCTAGTCTAATGTTGCGTAACTCCTGGTGACATATCATTCTGTTGTACAATGTTACTTTGCTAGATTTTATTTATTTTATTTAAGAACCCTCAACAAAATGCTTCCCTCAAGCGCATAAATCGACAATAGCTCTCTGCAAAAAGGAATCTGAACGACTCGTTGGCGGTCGAGATAACAACGCGACTCGCGAAACTGATAAAATACATTGCACCGTAATTATCTATGACTAGCTTGCAGAATGCAATCGATCTTGTGCGGAAAGTCTGCAAGTTGATTGGCTATATATTTCTCGGAACTAGAACATGGACACAGTTCTTGGATCGTGGACGCAAGGCTTAAGGGCGGTATTCATAGCCAGATTTTACGTTTAAGATCGTCTTAAGATCATCTTTAAATACTCCATAGCCAATAAAATGTTCTATCCAGCATCTGTAGATAAATTCAAGACAATCTTGAATGTAAGATCTGACTATGAATACTGGTCTAAAAGTCAAACAGTGGATTATCGCTGAAAACAGTAAATACTCATTGGTTCATAGTTGTAAGTACACCGCTGAATAATTCATTTTCAGTGATAATCCACTGACTTTTAAGGTCTGCGCCCACGATACTAGAA